AGGCATGACGAAGCAGATATCGTCCTCTTTTGGAAGGTCAAACAAAGTAGTTTCGCTTTCACAACGAATCGCACAGCGCCTTCACGACATGGCGGCGGCAACAACAATACTACAGCGAGAATAAAAGTTACGCCTTCTATCTTTGCGTAAACATTTGGGTGGCGTTATGCAACTCTTCCCACATAGTGATGTAGAGATGTGGGGGCGTGTTAGAACGAGCCGTTTTAGGGAGGTGTGGCTGACTCTTAACTTTTATAAAGAATATCTCTTTGGATTTGAGACTTTAGTCTTTGCAACTTTACAGATCTTCTTTATGCACCAAGAGCTTGTAACACTCCAAAGAGAAAGAAAAAAATTTAATCACATCATATGACCCCTTTAATAAAGACTTTAGATGCTAAAAAGAAGGTCAGCATAGAGTGGCTCTCTAATGCACTTTTCTTACTCTTATACAGACTTAATTTCCTGTGTGACCTTGCAGCATTAGCCTCTCCTGATTTAGCTGCTGTGAAACCCTTTTAAGCACAGTTAAAGTTTATATTATCCCTAATTTCCAATTAAGGTAAGCATCCTATAAAATGTCAGAGCTGTATGTTTTAATCAACTAGTTCATCAGGGGTAAAGTACGTTTTAAAAAGATTCACTACATTTTTAAGCTACATGCCAAAATGCCTGCTTAAAATCGTTGTGAGAAAACAAATAACAGGAGGTACCTAGACCAAAATGGACAGAACATGCACAGAAGAAAATGTGGGCTAGATGGGATGATATATGCTGGAAATGCCAAAAGACTTAATGGCTTTTGTAATTAGGCAACAGAAATGAATGACTTCTGTTCGGATCTGGACAGAAATGGGATGATGCTTCACTAGGGTGAAAATTAGCACATTGCTTAGACAATTTTTTTAATAGACGCTCATTAAAGTGGTATAGATGACACTATATCAATGTGACACAAAGACAAACGGTGATAATGAGAAGACTGTACGCTATGGCCATTTATAATTTTGTTTGATGAGACAGACTTTGAAATCAAAAACTGGTCCACATCCAAAGAGAAGAATGTATATATTATTATGTCGAAAGAAATCAAAATTGGCCTTTGATTTCTTAATGCACATTCAAGTGTAATTCTTCGGTTCTATTAAAACTTTAACAAAATATTCTAATATCGACACTTTTCCAGATCCAATCCCATGTCATTTCCAATATGGAAGTGATAATGATACAATGGTTGTTGTCATTGTTTTCCAGGGTTCTCAAAGTGTTCCTGTCACGTACAGCCCAACGGATCCCATACATGACCAGCTGGAGAGTGATACGTCTTCTGTGTGTCATCCTGCTGATTGTGTTATGGTTCGCAATAGCCTGGACCACCGCTGTTTGTCAGAATCCAAACAGACATCTCGCTCTCATCAGTGTGGGCTTCACCACTGATGGGCTACAGTTCAGCATGTGTCTGCTGGACCGCTGGGACTACATGATAGCTGTGGGTGAGTGAATCTGTTACCTAAGAGTTTCCTGTATAAGTATTTGGCATTTTAATGAGCACAGGCTGGTATTTAGCAGAATGATCCCGCTGCGCTTTTCCATGTAATGAAAGTGAATGTATATTGCAATAGCACAAGAGCACCGTAAATGTAGTCCATATATTCACATTTTTTTTTCAAAAAGAAGTGCACTTAAATGAAAAAAAATACTATAACTACTTTTAACAATATTGTTATCAGTATTACATTTAGTTAGTATATTTTAAATGCACTAAATTGCAACATTACAATGTGTAATTACAAATATATTTAAATACATGACATACATTTTTGAATAGAAATGATATTAAAGTACATTTTTGTTTACCATAAATGCTTGTCAGTACATTTAGCAGTAAACTTGAACCATAATTTAAAGACAATAGAAGTAATTTTGAAAATACATGTAAAGATCCTACTTAAATGGGTCAAAAAAAAAAACACTCAAGTTCAGCTAATTGCATTTGCATTTAATAAAAATGTAAACTACAATATGTTTTAATTGAATTGCAATTGACATTCAGTAAGTACATTATTTCCATAATAAGTCATATTTTTTAAAAGTATGCTAAAAAGTGTGTACTTTTTCATGCAGGACAGCTATTTTATGTTGCTATTCAGTGAATTTCTGTAAGTCTTTAATACGCCTTTTCATGACAAAATTGGAAAAATTGCTAAAATGTATTATTTTTATGTATTTTTTTAAATAAAATAGTGCTTAATTTGTCAGTAAGGGAGGACAAACTTGAATCTGTTCTTGTTCCAAACAGCTAAGATATTGAGTCCTGACAATGTTTTTAAAAAAAGAGTAAGTGAAACAGTTTACATTTTGCTATGATACATATTTTAAATATCAATATTCTACATTCTACATGCAAAAGTAGTTATTTTGCATTGTGTTCAAATGCCCAAACAAATAATGAATTAAGCAAGATTATACTAGTACATTACTACCTTTTTCATTATTGTTGTCATTATTATTATCGTATTTGTATGGAGTAGGTATTGTAAATAGAAGGCAAAGTCAAAAGCATTGCATTATGGGATACAATATTCCATACAGTGCACTCTGCTGTGAATACTACTCAATTTGACAAATGTCATATGTCATTGAGGTATGCTTTGCATACAAAATAAAATTAACAAATTACACACTATCTGCATAGTGTACATATTCTTTACTGCATGCATTGTAAGTGTAGAGTATGCTAATCTAAACATAACAAGCGCGGTAGACCAATACAGGTCATCATGTTCGTAATACAAGCCAAGAAAGTGATGAATCAAGGATGCCTTGGCACTAATTGCAGACACATAGCGAATCTCACAGGAAGCATCAGTCGGGCTGTGACGAATTGAATTCAGCACAAATGTTTATCCTGATGTCTTATCCTCGAGCATGGCAGATTGGAAAGTGCCCAATCTAACACCTGAACCAGTAAGCGTCACATTGATGATGACAGATTTTCACTGGGGAACACATGTTTATTGATGTCAGGCCAGCTGACTGGCTGGCATTGTATAGGATGTGCCAATAGGGGATGGGGAACTATAAAACTTTGGACTGCCTTCCACAGCTTCATTTGCAATTGTCTGTCAAGAGGCGTCCAGAGAATACAAGCAATCTAGATGGCGTTTATTGCGTTTATTGAATGTCTTTTTTCTCTATCATTCTAGTATTTTCAATCTAGCGCTATATTGGTTTGTAACAGGAAGGTTTTGACAGCTACATCATTCTCGGGTTGATCTGGGAACTGGTAGGTCCCAGGTACTAGTCAGTTGGGTATTAACTCTATACTACCTCTCTCAAACAGCTGAGTTCCTGTTCCTCCTGTGGGGTGTGTATCTGTGCTATGCGGTGAGGACCGTCCCCTCAGCTTTTCATGAGCCACGCTACATGGCCATCGCAGTGCACAATGAGCTCATCCTCTCTGCCATATTCCACATTTTAAGGTTAGTGACCGCCACCAAGGACTTTCTCCTTCTTCTCAATCTTCTTAATTTTAAGCCCCACCCACATTAAAAGATACAAATAACTTGCAACAGATACAGTTATCGTCGCCCTAATAATAACTCACTGGTCGCTCTTTTCCATGCAATTACAATGAAAGAATCAAAAGGATACAGTGACTTGTGCTCTTTATTCCAAGTCATGTGGTTTATGTGAAGAACAGATCTAAATATAGGTTGCTATTCTTTAAAAATCTTCCTCTTTAATTGAATGTTAACCACTATGGGTCTTAAGATCATTGGGTCTTAAGAACCATCAATCTGTTTCATTAAATGGAAAATCCTCAGAGGAATCATTTCAATAATTCAGAGGTTAGGATTTCTTCAAGCTTTGATGAAATTGTATTCGTTCATTTGCTTTGAGATCCTTTAATAATCAGAACTAATTTGGATACTTGGCAAAATACACTCTTCTCTCTTCACCTGTTGCAATATTTCACTAAAGTGATACACTAGCTTACTGGTTTGAAAAGCTTTTTTCTCATTTATTCAGTCACACTATTTTAAGGTCCAATTCTCACCACTGACAAACCATAAATTTTTGCCTCAATTGCTTCTTATTAATAGTTAGTAAGGTAGTTGTTAAGTTTAGGTATTGGGTAGGATTAGGGATGGAGAATATGGTGAATCAGAATATGTGCTTTATAAGTACTAATAAACAGCCAACATGTTAATAACAGACTTGCTAATAAACAACTAGTTTAGTAAGAATAGTAAGAATTGGTCCCTATGCTATAGTGTTAGCATTTATTCTTATCGATTTTGCCATTTCTGGCACACTTTTGACAGAAACCAAAGATTTGACATCATTTGAATATTCATTCTGATTGGTCAGTTTACTATTGAAATTTTTGATTAAGCTATCTGCTCTTGCATTGGGCAGTGGTTTAACCCCCCTGTGCTATTTGAACAATTTATCGCTTTTTAGTTCTTATGTTAATTTTAAATGCATTTTTGAGGAAGCTCAGCTTCCCCTGCCCGATGGACTGACACTGCCTTCTAAAGAGTCGGTTTAGGGTTGTGGAGCTTATGAATAACTTCAGCAGTAATGAGGCACTCATTCAGACAGGGACTTGAACTCTTACACAAGATAAAGGCAGTTGACTTCAAAGACAGGGCATGTGATTTTTAGAAGTGCTGCATCGCTTGCTGCTCTCTCCACTGTTTCTACAGTAATTAATCACAGTACAGAGCCATGGGATAGTGTTACTTAACTATCTGTATTTTGGTGTAACAGCACCCATGTCCTTTTATCATAAACAGTAATTAATGCATTGTGGCAGCCAGTGTTTTCAGCATACACAGGTCCTTTCTAGCTTACCTCAGGAATTTCAGAAAGTGATGTAACAACAATATGAGGAAACCTTATTTTCTGCATTCAAATAGACATGTCCACGCTATTCCATGCAGCAGTTCATGTCATCTCAGAGGGGCCGTCGATTTCCAACCAGATTAAAATAGCTGGAAGCAACAGAGCTGCAAACCTCACTGCAAACATGGTGAAGGTTAACACAGTCTCCCAGCAGGTCAGCACAGATAAACCTGAAGAAAGAAAAAAAATATATATATATGACCAAGCACAGATAAACACAGTATAAATCTTAAAATAAACCTGCTGAATTGGAGCTGTGCACATGCTCTAACATCACTGTGTGACTGCAGGTTCGATAATAGCTTGTATCATTTGCAAATGCCATTCTACCTTCACTCCCTAGCTCTGGAGATCAGGAATCAGTATATTGTGTACACAAATCCAGGCACCTGGCTCAATGTTCAGTTTAGCCTCTTAAATCACTCACTTAGTAGGTTTCCTGTTTTTGTAGTTGCAATAGGTGACCATATAAACATGCAATGGTTTTATTTTGTTCAGTCTAACACCAAAAAAAGTAAAAAGTGTAGATGATTGTTCATTTGGATTCTGTAAATCCACCCATAGGTTCAAGCTATGAATGAATAGGTTCTTAGAATGAGTGCAATGATTAATTAATCTGCATTGTGTAGAGTGTAAAAGTGTGATAAAAGCATGCTGTAGATACTACCAAGGTTTATGGGGGAGAAAAGTGAGCAAAACATGTCGCATTGGATGCTGCTTCAAAGCTGGGAAAAGTTGTAACATTACTATATTACCCACTTTGACGATACCATATATTGAAAGATATATCAATATGTTTATTAAATTTTATATGCATTCATATAAAGTAAGTTCAATTATTGAAGAATTTGGCTGTGTAAATAAGCATTTTTGAATACGACCTGAGCCACACATAATGCACACATACCAGATAGCTATATTGTATTGTACTGTATTATTTTAGAAGTACGCAAAATTGTAAAATATAGAAACTGCAATGGTTTTTATTTTGTTCATCCTATCGCCAAAAAAGTAAAAAGTGTAGATGATTATTAATTTTTCTGTAAATCCATCCACAGGTTCACTCTTGCCCCTGAACTGCACCCGGACTGGATGTTGATGCTATTCTTTGCTCATACACACTTGACAGTGACTGTCACTTTGGCGTTACTGCTTGTGCCAAAGGTAAACCCACCAATCCTCTTTTATCCTCTGAATCATTTGTTGGCTAAACTCAAAGTTTACAGAATCTCTTAAACACTCATGTCTTTCCCACAGTTCTTGTTTGCGGGTACACATCTAAGGGATGACATTGCTACAGAGGCCTATGAAGATGAATTGGACATGGGCCGGTCTGGGTCATACCTGAATAGCAGCATCACGTCCGCCTGGAGTGAGCACAGTCTGGACCCAGAGGATATTCGGGTAGGTGCCCTGATTTCTTTCAGGCTTTCTTTTCCCCTTGACTCTGTCCTCCCTTAGTAATTAACTGAAATTTCATAATCTGCAAATATCTCTTGACCCCTTGTCCTATAACTGACAAACATACTGAGCCATGGCAGTTTTTTATTGCAGACACCAGAGGAAATGGGCCAGCTAAGTTCTATTAATGGCTGTGGCGTAAGGTCTTGCGACAGTCTTTGGGAAAAACGTACCAACGTGAGCAGAGGTTTTCGTTTGTTTGTTAGAGCTGAAGAAGTCTCTCACCAAAGACTCAAATTGTGTTCATAGAAAGGGCATTTTGCTAATGGGATAAAGTTCTGCTCTTGGTATAATTGCCGTTGATGACACAGCTGTATGAAAATATGTTTTGATGTTCTTCAGAGGCTCTTTCAGACCTAACAATAAAACAAGAAATTTTCGTATTTGACACCGTCCCAGACTGTCCTGTCTCTAATTAGTGTAAAACAGCATGTTGGTTTGGTCTAACGTCTTTGAGGCACTGTCTGTAGTTGCATATAATGACTAGTTCTGCATGCTTTCTGTGCAATAGAGCGTCTGCTTCACTGTAACTAGAATCATTTCATTTTTATGCTTCTACAATCATAGTTAATGGCCCATTTTGTCTTCAAATCCACAGGAAGAGCTGAAGAAACTCTACTCCCAGCTGGAGATTTATAAGAGGAAAAAGATGCTGGCCAACAATCCTCACCTGCAGAAGAAGCGCAGCTCCAAAAAGGGCCTAGGTCGCTCCCTCATGCGCCGCATCACTGAGATTCCAGAGACAATGGGCCGGCAGTGTAGCCGTGAGGACAAGGACCTGGGTGAACATGGGAGTAACCGCAACAGCATCTGTGTCCTAAGAAAGAACCCTTTTGAACCCACACACTCTGTTAAGCCTGCCAAAGAGGAATCCTTGAAGAGCAAAGTTTTCTCCCTTAAAAAGTCCCACAGCAGTTATGACCATGTTCGGGACCACAGTGAGGATTCCAGCAGTTCAGTAACTGACAATATGGAAGTCACAAACACAGAAGACTCCCTTCTCGAAACCCTAATGGGCAAGAAGCTTGTCAAAAAGTCCTCCGAGAAGATTGATGCAGCCAGTGAGTCAACAGAGTCCGTTCCCCTGGTGTGTAAGTCAGCCAGCGCTCACAACCTGACAGCTGATAAGAAACCTATTCACCCTAGAACATCCATGCTGCAGAAATCTCTAAGCGTCATTGCCAGTGCCAAAGAGAAAACACTTGGTCTAACAGGAAAGGCCCAAGCAGCGGAGGATCCAACAAAGAAAGCCAATCAAAAGAACAAGGATGCCAAGACCCCAGCTGAAGCTGAAGAAAAGGAGGGTTATCCAAAGATGATTGTCAGTCAGTCAGTGGAGTACAAGCAGACAGCTGCCAAAGCTGGTATAATGAAGCCACAGATGAGCGGAAGCCAGCCCTCAATTTGCTCAGAAACAGCCAAGGGGAAAGACCTGTATGACCTCTCAGAGGTGTGCCCTTGGGAAGTGGAGGACGTGCCGACTCCCTCCGAAAACAAGGTCCAGAAACATGTGTCTATTGCCCCCGAGCAGACCACCGCAGTCCACGGAAGTAGCAACAAGGCGACAAAGTCGCAACAGCAAAAGCAGAAAGCCACAGAGCAATCACCCTCCGTGGTCAGACGTCCAACCCAAAAAGCTGCTGATAGAGCAGACATATGTCCGTGGGAGGAAGGAAATGAGGACCATGGTCAGGCAGTGGGGCCAAAACCTCACTCCAGTAGTAAGCCTGCCATGTCCAAACCCCAGGCATCTGGAGAGGTTGCCAAGGTTCTCAAAGCTGAGGTCTGTCCATGGGACTTTAAGGAAGTGTCGAGCAAGCCAAAGGACTCGGGTTGCTCCCCTGATCAGAGCAGACCACGAAAGGACACTACGCCAACTGAGATCAAAGGGAAAATAAGCTCCTCGTCTACTGAAGTCAAGGACAAGGGTACAACGCCCACCGAGGGTAAAGCAAAGAGCGTTTTCTCCGAGCCTACTAAATCCCAAGGCAGCACACTACAGCCACCCTTTAAAGCAGAAGTGTGTCCATGGGAGGTTGAGACTGTGTCAGGTCCTGTCTCTGAAAAAAAACCTTGTTCTTCTCAGGTTTCTAAAACAAAGGAGACATGTGCTATAAAGAAGGAAACTTCTCCTGTCAGAATATCAGAGATGGAAAGAGAGAACGCAAAGGGTCCTGATGAAGACAAAATTAAATCAAATGCAAAAGACAAGTTAACCTCTGGAAAAACGAAAGATAGTCCTATCAGCCAGCCTAAACTGGCTGAGGTTTGTCCATGGGATGCTGATAGTAGTCACGAAATTGTCTCAATGGAAAAACAAAAAAGCCCAAATGTTGCATTAGCAAAAATTAAGCAAGCAGAGGTATGCCCTTGGGATTTTGAAGATGCGGCAACTAGTAAAGAAGTCAACCAGAGCACCAGTTCACCCACTGGCAAACAGAAAAGTTCGAATTCCAAAGGCAGAGTTACTAGTGGTGTTAAAACGTCAGATGTCTGCCCTTGGGACTTTGATGACCAAGGATCAACAAAAAAAGCATGACACTTTACCTGAGTGAACCATTAGTTAGTCCTCATTATATGTGCTTTTTCTTTCATAAATACACCATGAAATAAAAACTTTAATAGCATTTATGGTGATTTGGAAAAGAAAATCAACATGTCGCACAAGCTGCCTTTCTCTTCAACCTTTTGTTTTCCCTTTGTGTTTTTTGGAATAAAAGGAAGAAAACCCTGAAAAAAAACACACACAAAAACAAAAATGCAACAACTCACCAGGCATTCCAGATTTTAAAGTATTGGTTGAACCTTTAAATAGAAATGGTAGTTTACAATTATGCAACTCTTTATGTGCAATGTAAACAAGATGCCTATGCTCACCACATGTATCCTCATTAACATTTGAGCTCTCAGAACAGCTGCATCTGTAGCCTCTCCTTGACTATGGCTTCCACAAAAGATTGTACAAGTTATTGTTACATAGGAAGGTGTGGACCATGCATGAAGTGTCATGGAGTAAGCCTGATCCATTTCCTTGTTTTCGTTTGTTTCACACATTATCATCTGGTTTGAATAAAAATTAATATTTGCCAAAGATAGAGGTAAAATCCAATAAATCTAAGAACTCAAACCTCAACAGCATAATAGAGACACAGCATTTGTACAGTGAGCCGAATTCATGCGACTGCTAGAAAATTAGCCTGTAGCACTTTAGTAAAGAACACGCTTAGAGAGACAGATGCAAACTGGACAGAACTCCATTCATATTTACCCTTGTTTGTTGTTTGGCCTTGCTGTTTTATGCCGTTCTGCGATCATATGTGCACATCTGCAACATTTTTTAGTTATCTTGACTAGAAAAAAAAGCTAGAAAAAATTAAACATTTCCAATGCTTCCAAATGTGCTAATATATTATCCTGAATGTGCCTATTTAAATAGTCCTGTACCAGTCTTACTTTGTATTGGGAGATGTGAAACCTTTGTCATAGCCCATGTTACAAATACTTATTGAAACACTTGATGAAAATCAGCATCTTATTTTTGAAAATAAATGATGTTTAGTTTATATATTAGTAATGTTGCAAAATTGTAAATGCTTTTTGAATGGGGTACGCTATGAAAAAAAAAAAGTCCACTACTCAGTTCATGGGACCATAGATATTGTTTCTCTCAGCGTAGGGCACAATCATGCCTCTGATGTCTTTCCTTTTTGTTTTTTACAATTAGAATACTCATGAATATGAAATCAAATTCCAGTCTATCTCATATCAAATTCTAACACAAGCCTCAATTTCTTTAATATGTATTACATCAGTTTACAAATAAAGTCTTGCTCTTACCGTATTGATTTATTTTTTTGGGAAAATGTATCGATTTCTTAGAAGAACATTCTAAAAACATCCCCAGTGATTGCTGATGTGAATTCAACAATGTATCTAAATTACTGTTGGAATGTTAACATATCTTGTATGCCTTTTCAGCACATGGTCATTGGTAATCTGTAATGATGTCAAGGTAATGGTGTCACAACACATGAGGCATGAACTGTTGTACAGGTTGATGCCTAGTTATGAAATGTTCGTATAAATGTCGACATATTGCGATTGCAAACTATTTTGACCCAATCTTACAGTAGCTAAATGGTTTTTAAATGTATTGACAGATTCTTGTGTTTTGTATGTGCACAATATGAATTAGCAAGAATACAGAAAAAATGGTTATGCCATGTAAATATGTTATAGCTACCAAAGAGGTTAAAAAATTTACCTAAATATTTAATTCTTGGCATTTGTTTGAAATCAGATAATGTAACACTCCCGTTTCTCCACAGTGGGGTAAATTTATCAATGACCTCTTATCACAATTTAACTTATAAAACTAAAATTATCTTTCCATGCTAATATTTACATAGGTAGGTCATTCCTGTTCTGCAGTACTTTTTTTTCTTTCTTTCACCGGACTTTCAGAAATATGCTCTGGTAATGGCGGGTTCAGACTACACAATATTTTTGTCGGTCACGATAGTCACAGTGTCAGATTACACGATTTTTACTCCTAAAATCTTGTCGTGTCGTGGACAAGAAACATGTAATACAGGCAGACAGGAGTACTGTTGACACAGCTCCACGAACCTTTCCTCCATTTCATAATTCCACCTAGCAGCACCATCATCTCTCTATCGTTTCGTCCATTTTTTTAAACATGTGTATGAAAGAGCTTCTGTGCTGCTATTGGTCAACGTCACCAATGTGACAGAACTCGTCGTGGATGACGGAAAAAAAATTAAACATGCTAGTCTTTCTGTCGTGATGTCGTGAAGCATCGCAGACGCGGAATCGGTTGTCGTCCACTATGACACACTACACGAGCTGAAACGATGGAATCTTGCGTCCAGACGCCCATTGTCGATTACGAATCCCCACGACACCCTACGTCAAGCAAATCGTGGCAAAATCGGGCTAAAATCTTGTAGTCTGAACTGGGCATAAAGCTTGACATGATCAATTATGACTAAAATTTATTTAATTATATCTGAATTATTTGCTCAGTGGAATTAAAATGAACAGAAGAGAAATAATTTTGAAATATTTTAATGTGTGATAAACCAATTAATGGCACAAAACATCACAGATCATTCATGAGGTTTATTGCTAATACTCACTGGCAATGATGACCTGGCTTTTAGAGACATTACAAAAGTGACATTGAATTTGACCTATAAATTCATTACCAGTTAATTAACCAAACCAGTTCATTTTTTTTTTCAGTGTAGAAGCACATATTATCTGGGGACATCAACAATAATTGAAATTCACTCCATGTTAGTTTAATTGTGATACTGAATTAAAAGAAAAACAACTTATAGGATTTCCATCTTTCAACACTGTAAATGTTATACAAAATGTATTGCCAAGTAGGAATGACCCAGGTAGTACTGAATAGAAAGCAGTAACCGAGAGAGAATCACCACTTTCCCAGATTTATGTAATCTGCTGATAATTTATAAGCCAAAATTTCTACTATTCTCATCAGGATATGTGCTCATGGATTTCTAGGCACACTAAAGGGAACTTATAGTTCAACTGCTCCTTAACTGTCTAGTAATCTCATGCTCTTGTGAGAACAGACGACTTTCCAGATTCTGTTCTTAATGTAGGCCTAGATAGATGTGTAAAATTGACCAACTTTGTTACATAGAGAATGTTTCTGGGAATGGTTGTTGTATCGTAGTGCATCCCTCTAGTTTACGAGTTTTACCCATCTGCAGGTCCTCAGTTGATCTCTATGTAGTATGATGTAAGCACTCAACTCATGACCTGTTAATGTTAATGGTAACCTTGCCTATTACATTGTCTTAGTGCAATGTTTAGTTCAGTTTTTGAAGTTTACAGAAGTGATTATTTATCTATTTATGACTTGATTTTGGTTATTTAGCTCGTTTACTTGGGCCCCACGCGTGTCCCACCACTGTCACGTGTTGGGGGGACATTCCTACTACTTAACGCGGTATTGTCTTAGCTCTAACTCTCGTTGCTTCTGCATGATAATGAGAAATTAGTAAGACTGATGTTTCACTGCCCTTGATATAACTTAAAAAAGAATCGTTGATCTTTATTGGACTGTTACAAGTTGTATAGTTTGTGAAACTGTACCCTACCCTCTGTATTATGTGCTTGTTATATTAAATGCTCTATGACAAGCTTATAGCATACACATATGGAGATATTTGGTAGATTTATATTGTGTAATATTGTGATAGCATGTACATAAAAATACCTCCTCTGCAATAAATATTTATACAAAACGCAATTCTGTGTTGACTGAATGAAATCAAAATGAAGGGAAAAAATAACCTTTAATGAAAACTTTACTTGTACCTTTTATTGCTTTTTCACAATACTCTAGTACAGGGATCCTCAAATCTGGCCCACGAGATCTACTTTCATGCAGAGTTTAGCTCTAACCCTAATCAAACACACCTGAGCATGCTAATCAATGTCTTCAGGATCATTAGAAAATCACAGGTAGGTGGGTTTGATCAGGGTTGGAGCTAAACTCTGCAGCGCATTGGCCCTCCAGGGCAAGATTTGAGGAAATCTAGTACATATTGGTGTTATTTTGGCCAGGTAATGAATCTGAAATTGATGATACACCACGTTCAAATTGTTGTACAGAAAATAGCAACGAAATTAAGTGTGGTCAAAATTGTCTTCTGTCCGAAAGTTAAGTACCCATTATTTTACAGATGTCCAACACAATACCATGTACATTTGTAACTATTTATTTATTGCAATTTTGGTGGCTAATTCATATGTATTTATACAATCTCATTTACATTTTCATACGATCTGCTTACACCCCAGTGACAGTTATGATTAGCATTTAAAGGTTAGGGGTGTATCTTCATGCTTATTATTTTATTTTTTATAAAATTCAAACATTTTAATAACAAATTAACAAGAAATAGTACCTCATAAAATAGTTAAGGTTTCTCATGACCGTGGGATGGATATAACAGGTGTGCTCAGGGATTTCTTGTGGTCACACTTTATTTTAAGCTCCTATTCTCACTATTAACTAACTATTAACTACGACTTTTCCCTCAATTAACTCCTAATTACTGCTTATTAATAGTTAGTAAGGTATTAGTGAAGTTTACGTATTGGGTAGGCATGTAGAATATGTATATGTACTAAAAAATAGGCAATTATGCTATAATATACATGCTAATAAGCAACTAGTTAATAGTGAGAACTGGTCCCTGAACTAAAGTGTTACCATTCTTGCTTGCTTGCCATGTGTATACTTAATCTAAATATGGTGCTAGAAAATCACATAAGTCTTGACGTAAATTTTCAAACTATCTCTCCGCCGTTGCTATCACTGTCTCTGCACTGGTTGCTATTATTACTCATAAATAGCCCTAGAATGTCAAAACATTGTAATGGTTATCATTATGTCAACCGTTGCAATTTAAGGACATGCCTCCTGCTTTCTGTACACACACTGAATGATAATTTAGGAGATTTACTTGCGTATTTAAAGTCTGCATCTATCGGTTTTGTACATGCATGTTATTGATCTTATTGTCGACGATTCATCCATATAGGTTTCGATTCATTCATGTTTCTCATTAAGGTTAATCAAAATTTGATCTTCTGGTGAAACAACATGCCTCTCTATGGTGCTTGGTGTTTCTCTATGGCAACTTGAAACAGAAGTTTGTTACCAGTATGGATAAAACCTTTGCGTCTTAACAGTCGTGCTTGACAGCCAGCCAATCAGATTTGACCTTGACGTTTTTAGCTAGTATTAAACCATTTCTTGCCGTTTTTAAAACTATTGTTACAACACTGATGAAACCTAAAACAGTTCCACAAAGAGCCCTGATAATTGATTCTTACACCGGTTCAAATATATTGCATTTGCAAAAATCTCTTGGCTGGTTTTACATAGTCATTATTAATGAAAGCAAAAATGCTGACAGATCTCCCCACAAAGGCTCCAGCTAAGTGGTCATGGCCTATTCTCAAAGTAAATTTGTATCCTGGCAGTCTTAGTTCTCTCCAAGGTTTGTTTACTTTAAGGAAGCCTTTAAAAGCCTTCATTGTTAACACTTTAGGATATTCATATGCATGTTTGGCTCAGCTCCTGAAAAGCTTTTATGGAGTTGCTGTAGTCTTTCTGACAGAGATCAATTGGTGCTCTGTATGGGGAAAGTGGATAAGACGATATCAGGTTCTTCCTCATATTTCTGTCAATAGCCAAGCTGCTGAAGATCAGTCCAGTCAACTACTGTACAAATGTGAAGTGAATACTTGATTCCAGTTCTTCAACTTGAAAATGCACATCTAACTAGATTTTCAGAAGAATATGTGACCCTGGACCACAAAACCAGTCATCTGGATTATACATCAGCTGGAAGCTGAATAAATAAGCTTTCCATTGACGTATGGTTTGTTTGGATAGGACAATATTGTCATGGCGCGGTTAGGAAAACACCGTGTAAACAGGGGTCTGGGTCCAAATGCAGGTTTTTATTAAACGCAGGGAAAAAACAAAGTAAACACCAAAATGGAAACACAAACAGATATAAGAATCTGAAAACAGGCTCAGAACACAAACAGGGATATGACACAAAATCGGCAACTTAGTGCTTGCATCAGCGAGCGCCTGGGGGGAACTGAGAGCGGCCACCGCGGCTTCCGGAGCCTTGTGAGCGGGCACCGCCATTTCGAAAACATCATGAGCGGGCCCCGCCACCTGGGGGGAACAGTGAGCGGACACCGCCGCCTCGGGGGCACTGCGAGCAGACACCGCCACCTTGGGGGAACTGAGAGCGGCCACCGTGGCTTCCGGAGCCTTGTGAGCAAGCATCGCCACTTCGAAAACATCATAAGCGGGCCCCGCCGCCTGGGGGGCGGGGGACCTGGGGACTGGGGCAGAGCCGGTGGAATGGGCACCGGGCAGAACCAGCAGCCACCACAGCGGTGTGTGTGGAGCTGCCGCCTTGAAAAGAATGGAAGCGAGTTCCACCGCCTCGGGGGAACTACGAGTGGACACCGCTGCCCCGTGGAAACTGCGAGCGGGCACCGCCGCCTCGGGGGAACTGCGAGCGGACAACGCCGCCTCGGGGGAACTGCGAGCGGACACCGCCGCTTCCAGAGTCTTGTGAGCGGACACCGCTGCCCCATGGAAACTGCGAGCAGGCATCACCACCTCGGGGGAACTGCGAGCGGCCACCGCCGCTTCCAGAGTCTTGTGAGCGGACACCGCTGCCCCGTGGAAACTGCGAGCGGGCACCGCCGCCTCGGGTGAACTGCGAGCGGACAACGCCGCCTCGGGTGAACTGCGAGCAGACACCGCCGCCTCTGGAGGCTCGTGAGCGGACACCGCCGCTTCTGGAGCCTCGTGAGCGGACACCACCGCCACGGGGGGAACTGTGACCGGCCACTGCCACTTCCGGAGCTTTGTGAGCGGGCACCGCTGCCCCATGGAAACTGCGAGCAGGCATCACCACCTCGGGGGAACTGCGAGCGGCCACCGCCGCTTCCAGAGTCTTGTGAGCGGACACCGCTGCCCCGTGGAAACTGCGAGCGGGCACCGCCGCCTCGGGTGAACTGCGAGCGGACAACGCCGCCTCGGGTGAACTGCGAGCAG